CCCTGTTTATTTTGTTGAGGGGAAACGTTGATGGGAGAGAGAAACATTGATCAGTTGCCCCCAGCATGCGCCTGGACCGGGGACCAAACCCACAACCTGGGCATGTGCCCTGACTGGGAATTGCACCCGCCACCCTTTGGCGCACAGAACAATGCTCCAACCAACTGAGCCTCACTGGCCAGGGCTAGAGAGCATTTTAAGAGGTCTCCACTAAAGCAGAACACCCAGTCTGAGCACAGATTTCCTTATCTTAGGAATCTTCAAGTTAGAAGTATGAGATGTGATACAACAATCACAGAAAAGCCAGTAACACATATTTTCTTACTAGAAAGTTACATATTGAAAAAAAAAAAAAAAAAAGAGCAAGTAAAAAAGCCAAGGCATACAAAACTACTCTCTTTCAAACTGGAGTGAAAAAATATAGTGTTACCATTTTTACTATGATAAATAAGAAGGCAGAGTGGAGAAGTCAAGATAATGAGCCTGGGTCTGGCTTCTGAGCTTAACTAGAACATAAGACCAAAGTCATGAGTTCAATCTGTACCCTGACTGGTTTTATGGCCAGTGACAGTACCTGTTACAAAGCACTTTATAACAAGAATATAAGAACTGGGAAGATCATAGCAGTTGGCTGGAGTCTCATCCCAGCACTGTCCTTTGGTGGAATGGAAGTGTCACGTTGCTACACTGTACTCACACCGGAGGGGCTCCCACAGCTGGAAAGGTAGCCAATAGGAATACATTGTACACGTGGTCCTACTGGGTATCCCGGAGGGGCTCCCACAGCTGGAAAGGGAGCCAATAGGAATACATTGTACACGTGGTCCTACTGGGTATTTTACATATAAATTGCATGTCCTCTCATGTGACTTAATGGGATTAGACTTCCACGAGATCATTTTAGAAAACCATCTAAGCTTCCATTTTCCACAAAAAAGAAAAATATTTACTTTTGAAAAATAGATACAAAGAAGCTTACTTTCAGATCGACAGTATACAACTAAAAATGGGGCACTCAGATAATGGTAGTGTTAAAATGATGTAAGGAAAAGTACTTTAAGCAAAATATTGCTTAAATGAACAATTAAGTAAAACAGTGATTGCATTTAGGAGTCATACAGTAATTTTCAAGTGTCATTCCTCACAACCTCAGAACCAAGCCTTACAGCTCAACTATCACAGGATATTAACTTTTCCTTTCACCTCAAATTGCTGATTCTGACTGCTTAGACATCATAACAGTTTTTGATTCTTGACCTGTCGGGCTATCGACTGGTACCTGTAGAAAGAATCAGAAGAAAACTGATAGCATCTGGCATATGCCATTAATGCAGATCAACAGCTGGCTCAGGAATAAAAAAAGAGCTGAGAAATAGATAGGTTTCACACTCTGTACACACTTCTCAATAATATAATCATAAAATGCTTATCACTTACAGCTTTAATGTCGCCATTTGTAATTCCTATATTTATATTGTGTCTTCTCAGATCAGACTTGATTAACGCTGAAAGAGAAGCACCAAGAGTTACCACAGAGTACGTATGACTACACTTTTCTCCAGGCAGTAGAAAGCCTTTTTTGATATTGTTGAATTTACCAACTATAGTGCCATCATATTCAATAGCAGCCTTGTAGTTTGAAAAAGTACAGTGGAAACTCGCTTCTCGAACTTAATTTGTTCTGGAAGGCGGTTCGAAAACCAAATCATTTTTCCCCATTGGAAATAATGTAAATTGACTTAATCTTTAAACATAATGAATGAATGATAGTGACCTTAGGAGGTTGTGTATTTCCAAAATAAATGTTTACCACTGGTAAGGTTTCACTGTGGGGTTTCAAAAAGAATGATCAGGTTTTGAGTAAACATAAAAAGAAGCCTTGATTGCATCTTTCTGATAGATCTCTCTCTCATGTTGGTAAAGGGCTACAGAAAGAAATGAACACGGGAAATAACAGTAGAAGCCAATAGGGGCCAGAGAGCACCACTGGACATGTCTCGCTTCTAAATCCAATTTCACAGTATATGTCTGGACAAACCATGGACCCAAGTTCTTTAATGTGCTCTTTCTCTGGAGATGGGGCATGATCCACTTTCCTGGTCATGTCTATTCTGATTATACCTAAGAAGTATAAGAAATGGCTAACCGTGCCAACTGCTATTTCCATAGCCCATTTGACTTCTTACCACCACCACCACTTTATAGTAATAGCTAACATGATGAAGCTTGTCCTAGGTGCCAGATACCTCCACTAATCCTCAGAGCAACCCTCGAAGGCAGGCTTTTGTTTACCCTATTACATAAATGAGGAAAGGAGGATCTGAAAGGTCAAGTGGCCTGTCTAAAGTCACACAGCGAGCAAGTAACAGAATCAGAACTCAAGGCCGAGTGTACCCCCTCCAGCTCTTTACCGACTCTTTTTACAACAGTTTTATTTTCTATGCAGAGTAATTGTATTGAATTTGAAACCTGAAAGATAAATTAACAGATTCACATCACTGGAAGAAAACAAATAATATCCTGCTTTTTATCTCATTTTTGTCTCGAGTTCTGCCAAGCCATTCAGAATCAATGTACATGAAAATTAAACATAAAGACAACCTGACGTAAGTACTTCTGCCAGAAAAATGCTCAGATTTACCTGTGAAAATGATGCCTACAAACATCCAAATGCAGAGGAAAAGGTTTCCTGCCCTCGGACCATAGTCTGATGTGAGCTTTCCTTGAGCCAGAGTGAACAAAATTCCAAATATCTAAAATAAAATAAGAATCATTTTTATCAAGTTCACTTTTAAAAAATAAGTATAATGTTTTCCCCAGACCTTTTCTTAACTCTTTTATTCATTTGATTTGGCTTCTAGAAATACTCATTGAAAGATGGAATTTTTAAAACAAAAACTACGGTCAAACTCATCCACTAGAACCGTCGATAAACCAACCATCTCCGGTTGAAGGGAAGTCAGAGGCTTACCTGTGCAGCGGCATTAAGAAGACCCGATGAAGTGCCTTCAGATTCAGGGTAGGTGATTTCAACAGCGAATTCAAAGCCCAGGGGGAGGTAACCAGTCATGAAGAAACTAGGAAAATAAACCCAGAATTACAGAGTCCCTAGGACAGTATCACATGCCGAGGCAGTCATTCTACTTCTCAGGCCCATTCTAATGATCAATAAGGGAATGTCTTGAAGTTGGTATGTGAGAGGAAGGCACTATTATTGTTCATCAGTTGGGCCAAGCTCACAAGAACTGAGAAGCAAAACAGTTTCTAATTTTTTTTCTGAGAAAAATTTACCTCTAGTTTTCTAAGTCGGTTGTTTTTCTAATTAAAGATACCTAGACTAAGTAAGGCTTATCCATTTTTCACCTACATATACCAAAACAAAACAAAAAAATTTAAAACTATTTTTTATATTCCTAAAGAATTACACATTTATATACACAGGACTGAATCTTCTAAAGTTTAAAATGTTAAAGAACCCTTGGATGAACTTTAAAAATTAAAAATTACAGTAGCCCTGGCTAGTGTGGCTCAGTTGGCTGAGCGTCATCCTGTGCACCGAACGGTCACCAGTTCAATTCCCATCAGGGCACATACCCAGGCTGCGGGTTTGATCCCAGGTCGGGTGCCTGTGTGGGGCAGCCAATTGATGTTTCTCACATCAATGGTTTTTTTTCCTCTCTCTCTCTCTCCCTCTCCCTTCCTCTCTCTCTAAAATCAATAAAAACGTATTTTAATAAAATAAAAAATAAAATTAAAACCACAGTAATAACATTTCAGAATTACAACAGCATGCTGTCATTCCTCTTCACCACATCTGACGCTTACCCAAGCACCCCTCCAGTAACAAACACGATGATAATGTATCCACTGTCCAGCGTGAAAGTAAATGTAACCATTCCAAGAAAGGACAAAATGTAAACTATCAGAGTAGTCTGTCTAAAACAAAAAAAAAAAATTGTTAGTATTATGTCCCAAGCACACAGTCAGGTAGCTGTTGCTCTGTCCACACAGTAATAAATAACTTTGGTTTTCAATATTAGGTTTCCCTTATCTATGGAAAATATTTCCACCAAAGCATGGACTTCAAAGCTTAAATTTCAACAGCAGCAGACAACAAAACCCACACAATATCTAATGTTCATACAGGAAGGAATATTTGTATGGATAAATCATTTTTATGTCTACAAATGGGATGATGCCCTATCTGTATTTCAAGACTTGGATTGAATTCCGCCTCTTCCAAAGCGCTTTTCCTAACCATTGCAGCTTATAACATTGTTTCTTTCCTTATTATTTTACTATCCACATAATTGGTACTAGATGTCTACTGGACTTAAGACATCTATTTTAGTCTGTATTATTACTATTTAATCTTTTTATGTCAATGCCTTGTTTTCCCCATTTAGGCTACAAGTGTCTTAAGGCCAGGGACCATATATTGCTTGCCAAAATTCCTAGCTAAGGGGTGGTTAACCTGAGAAGATTGCCAGGGCAACAGAGAACACATTTCTATGCCTATCAAGTTTTCTAATTATATAATGGACCAAAAACTATTAATAAATTTAATCCTTTACATATGTTCCTCTCATTTATAAATTTAGTGGGTTTCACTCTAGCTACTATTTCATAATAATGAAGCCAAAGCAAGTGGTATCTTAACCTATGGGAGATCTTGGAGAATTCAAGATCAGAGGTAATTTGAAAGGGTTAAGATTATGGTATAAACATATCTTGGGCCTTGAGGTGCTAGGGCATGGTTCCATATTTTATTCATTCCACTTATTCACCTCACTTTCCTGCATTCATTCATACATCCCTCCCGAGCAAATGGCAAGTTTCTGCCTGTTAAAAAATGTAACTTTTTAAAGGCCCAGTGCAAAAGATGCTGCCTCTGAAACCCCTTTCTCAGCCTCCCAGCTAGTTTTACTCACTTTTTCCTTTGTATTAGCACTTTGCTGATTCCATATAGATGTACAATTAATATAGTGTTTTCATATTACATATTATAGTTAAGTGGTCCTATAATGGGGGCACTTCAGTCAAAACTTTTTATCCAAAAAAAAAAATCCTTATGCTCAATAATTTTTTGACAGGAAAAAACAACTTTTTGTTGTTAAGCTCACAACAGGAGAAAAGAAGAGAATGAAAATTCTGTCAGAAGTTAAATGTTTCTCAGAAAGGACTTTTTTTTTTTTAGAAGATTAGTGGGATGTATGAGTATTATTAGAGAGGAACAGATTCATAATGTATCCAAGTTCTTAAACTTTAAATAAATATGACAATATGAAGACTACAGGATCATTGAGAAGCAAAGGAAACCTAAGAGCGCCTAGACTCCAAGCCTTGTAGCAATAACACTTTACTTCTTTAAAACAAAAAGCAAAGTTTTCTTTAAAACCAAAATACCTTAGGTTGTACACCGTACATTTATCTCCCTTCACTTACTTGTACGTTTTGGTATAATCCAGCCATAAGCCACAGAGAATGGAGCCCACCATTCCAGCCACTACCAGCGTTAGCCCAATCCTTCCAGCATTCACCTCTTCTCCCTGAGAAGAATGTTCAGAAGAGGTTACTCGGACACTTCTAATTCAAAGAGACCCTTCAGAGTCCCACCGTCCGGGTCAATGGGAATAATCAGATTAATTCCGAACATCATATAATAGGAAGATGTGGTATGTGCTTTAGGATGGGGTGGGGGGAGGTCAAGCACATATAAAGGACATTCTATTTTCAAACCAGAAAATAACCCTAAAATCTGGAGAAATCAAAAGGGAATTCCTTGACCCTCCATAACTAGAAGTGCAATGAGTTTGTTAGAATTCTTAAGTCAGTCACCGATATTTGAAAAGGAGGTTAATCTGACAGCTTTTCATACAACTGCTTTCTCCTTTCAAAAGCAAAGAGAGGTCAGGGCTTGATCTTTACTTCATATTTATGCTCGTTTCCCTCAAAGTTCTTTTGTCTTTTTCCATATAACCAGTCACACTATTTCTTTAAAAAAGAATAATAATTTTAAAAACAAAGGTATTGTCAAAGCAGTAATAACTTCTGCCTTCCAGTTTGTGTGTTTTATAAATTGGATTAAATGTGTTCTCAATTCAAACAAATATATATAAATCTTTCACAGCAACAAGGTCACAGACCTTTAATCTTATGATCATGCTAACAGCAGTTCTACTGCCAAAGGAAGGCTCTCAGCCAGGCATGCAACACAGTACAAACAGAAGCTTACCTCAAAATATGTCAGTATCATTTGATTTAATAATGTTGAGACTGAATAAAATGCTCCAGTCATGATACCTACAATAATAAGCAGAAAACTATAAATACGTCATTTACCAGTTCATAAAGTGCTATGGAGTTCTCTGTGACAACTGTGAAAATACAATGTATTTCTCAGCCGACAGAGAAAACTAAGAACTCTCGCCATTACTTTTCAGGATGTGGGTTGATCAATTAACAACTAACTTACTAGAGATTGTGATAGGAAAATTATGTCATTACACCATTTATCACTGAGATTCTGATATACTGACCGTGAACCATAACCCCACACGACACTGTATATGGCAATGAAGCCACGGATCACTTACTGAGCACCTCCCATGTACTTGAGCTAATGACTGTTAAAGCATAAGGCAGAATCCCTGCTTCAGAGATCTCACCTCTGCACCAAGACTGACAAGGCAATTAGTAAGACAGTATTAATTAAAGAATACTTAAAAAGAAGAAAATACAGCTGGTCATCAGGAAGCATATAACTAGGTTTGAATCCTGCTGTTTCCTTGCACATAATGTGTGGCTTTAGGTAAGTCTCTTAACCTAGTCAAAACCTAAGTTTATTATTTCTCTCTTTCTTTTTATTACTAAGTATTTCAAGCATGCAAAATAGTACAGAGAATAATTTAACAAACACTCCATGCTCTTCGCCCAGCTTTGTCAAGCATTAACATTCTGTCATCTTTGCTTCACATTAATTTTTTAGACCTTTGCTAATCTTATACTTCTCTCCTATTCTTTCTCAGAGGTAACTCTGATCCCGATCTTGGGATTTATTATTTAGATGTTATAATTATTTTAGATATTTATGTGTATCTATAAACTACAATTAGAATTATAGTGCGTATATTTAAACTTTATATAAATAATGTATTATTTGTATCCATCACAGCTTGCTCTTATCTCTCAGTATTACGGTTTTGAGATTTATCTGTGCTGATACTTTTAGTTCTAGTTAATTAGTTTTCTCTGCTGTGTACTAGTCCAGAGTGTAAATATACTTCAATTTATTTACCTCTTGTCCTGTCAACAGATACTTAAGGCTTTTTCCAGTTTTTCACTATCTAAAACAATAGTGCAGTGAATATTCTGTTTGTTCTTATGTATAAGGATTTCTCTAAGTCTATATTTAGGAATAGGACTACTTTCTGGATAGAGCCAAACTGCTCTTTGCAATGGTGAAATGGTTGCATCAATTTATACTACCAGCAGAACTCCTTTATTCCACGTTCTTGACAAACTTGTTTTCACTAAATTTAAAAAAAATTTATTTTTTTGCCAATTCGAATGTGTGTGATATTGTACCTTACTCTGGTTTTGATTGGCATTTCCTTGGTTACTAGTAAGGCTGAGCATCATATATAAGCAGTACACACATACACAAACACATAAATGCCTTCAGTTTTCTTGGATGGTTTGCTCTTTTCTTATTGATCAGTAGGAGTTATTTTTAGGTTCTGATTTTTACCCTTTGTCTTTAACTTACTGCAATTCATTTTTGTGTATGGTATGATGTAGAGACCTAATTTTACTGTGCTTTTCCTGCATGGGTAATCAATGATCGCAGGGCAATTTACTATAGTTTCTCTTCTGCCAAACATCTCATTTTTATATCTGCATACTGTTCTTGATCAGTAGGAGTTATTTTTAGGTTGTAGGTACTAAGCTTTTGTTAGTTATATGCATTATATGGTTAGAGCTATTGACAAATATTCCAGTATTTCTCTTTCCAGGCACTTAGTGGCATGGCCATATGACTTTAAATGTGAGCAAAAGTAACCTTTCCCAGTTTCTGCTTTAGTAATCATGGAAGCACATGCCTTTATTAGTTTATCATAGCATGCCCTTGCTGTACAACTTCTCTTATTACCTGTTGATAAATATCTTACACTGTTTACTTTTCAGATGTTTATTATCTCCCCATTGGGTTATAATTTCAGGACAGAAATCATATATCAAGCTTCTTTCTAGCTCACACAGCATCTATGGCACTATTGCTGATATCTGATAATTATTGATGGAGTAAATGAATAAATAAAATGAACAATATTTTTGGAACAATAATATTGATGGAGTAAATGAATAAATAAAATGAACAATAAGTGAGATAACTGTTAAGCTAGCTCTTGTAGAACTGCTTGAGGAAGAAAAGGAGCACATTTCAGGTACAAGAAATAATGGCACAAAGTTACAGCGACTAGAATTAATAGTAAATATGTATGTGGAGGCATATTTATGTGTGTGAGTGTGTCTGTGACAGGAGGTTGGTTATAAATTTGGTTGAAAGAGAATTTTGTATTGAGAAACAGAGATGAAAGGACATAGGAAAGAAGCAACCATACATGACTGGCTAAAGACATGAGTTTCCTCTAATAGTTAATAGTGAACCACTCTACTTCCTAGTTAGGAGTTTTAGATTCAAGCTAATCAGTGGAGGTAACCAGCAAAATGGAGAAAAGGAACTATGGCATGCTGAAGTATTTAATGATGAGATGCCACAACCCCTGGGATTGGCTTTAAAATAGTCCAGGAAAAAGGAAAGGAAATAGATAAAGTAACAATGATGAAATGTGGTAACTGTTGAAGCCAAGTGATGCTAGGTACATAAGAATTCATTAGATTTAAAAAAAAAAAAAGGGGGAGCACCTAGAAGGCCCAGCTCAGGTGACTGGGGAGGTTGAGCCACTGGACCTTACAGGACACCTACTACACAGAGCCACCCTACAAATTCCAGGAGGCATAGCAGTTCTACCTAATACACAGAAACAAACACCTGAAAGCAGCCANAGAAACAAACACCTGGAAGCAGCCAAAATGTGGAGGTAAAGAAACATGTCACAAAGGAAAGAACAGAAATCTCTAGAAAAGGAACTAAATGAAACAGAACCAAGCAAGCTAAGAGATACAGAGTTCAGAATGTTGGTTATAAGGATGCTCAAGCATATTAGTAAAAGTATTACAAAAACAACTGAGACCATCGATGACATAATAAAGTACCAATTTGAAATGAAGGCTACACGAACTGAAATGAAGAATAATTTACAGGGAATCAACAGTAGAGTAGAGGACGCTGAGAATCAAATCAGCAATTTGGAACATGAGGAAACAAAAAACACCCAACCAGAAGAGCAAACAGAAAAAAGAATCCAGAAATATGAAGATAGATTAAGGAGCCTCTGGGACAACTTCAAGAGGCCCAACATTTGTATTATTGGGGTGCCAGAAGGAGAGGAAAGGGACCAAGGAATTGAAAACCTATTTGAAAAAATAATTACAGAAAACTTCCCCTGCCTGGGAAAAGAAATAGGCTTACAAGTACAGGAAACACAGAGGGTCCCAAACAAGAAGAACCCAGAGAGGCCCACAGCAAGACACAACGTAATTAAAATGCCAAAGGTTAAAGACAAAGAGAGAATCTTAAAAGCAGCAAGAGAAAAGCAGTTAGTTACCTACAAGGGAGCCCCCATACGACTGTCAGCTGATTTCTCAACAGAAACTTTGCAGGCCAGAAGGGAGTGGCAAGAAATATTCAAAGTGATGAAAAACATGGAACTACAACCAAGATTGCTCTACCCAGCAAAGCTATCATTTAGAACTGAAGGTCAGATAAAGAGCTTCACAGATAAGAAAAAGCTATAGAAGTTCATCACCACCAGACCAGCACTACAGGAAATGTTGAAGGGTCTTCTTTAAGAAGAACCTAATGAACAAAAGAATCTGACAAACTAAATAGATCCAGAGACATTGACGCATGCAACAGATGATCATATTTCAGAGGAAAGAGGGAAGGGGGGTGGAGGGTGGGAAGAGATTAACCAAAGAAGTTATATGCATATATGCATAACCCATGGACACAATCAATAACAGGGTAAAGGCCTAGGGAGTGGGTGGGAGCGAGGTGGAGGGGGTCAATTGGGGGGGGAAAATGGGACACCTGTAATACTTTTAACAATAAAGATAAATTTAAAAAAAAAAAGGAATTAATCCTGGTAAAAGGGTAACAGTTTAGGTCAGGGCATAATTTGTTACAACCTGTAAAACAATTATATACTAGGGCGTGCACTCCCCCAATAATGTAAAGAAAACAGCAGTGAGTGACTTCTAAAGGCAAGTAAGACAGATTATAGGAGGTGTTGGTGGTTAATACAAACCATGTTAATATAAGAAACAAAAATAAAGTACAGTCAAAGCCACAGAGTTAAGGTGAGAATTTTCAGCCATCCTGAAAGATCTGGAAGGGGGAGAATTTTTTTAAGTTAGAACTGGTCAAGGTGACCTCCTTAATGTCTAGTTTTGATCAAGTAGTCAGGACAGACACTGGTGTGCACAGGGTCAAACAAAACCATTGTTGATAACACTTCCTGCATGTTTACAGCAGTCCTAAATATAGTTCAGAAAGCACCTAAAGTACCATGGAACTCATAGAAGAGGGCAGCGCTTCTCTACTTGAGGTCTATTAGTTTATTTTAAAAGCATGTAAGAAAATCCATCGTGAAGTTTTTGCTTTTAGTTCAAAATTTAAGTTTATGACTATGCTATCATTATTTTTATAGAGTTAACAACACCACCTCATTAATTAAAGCTCAAACCACTAGATTAAATGAAAAGAATCTACAATGCTCAAAGGTTTATATAGACATCAATGAAGACAAAAGAAAATTACTTACCATAAGTGATCAGTAGAAGGACAAAAGGCATGTTTTTAAACAGGTTACTTATTGATTTCTTATAGGAGTACTCTGCAGGGGGACTGTCTTGAATTGCTGCTTGAGCCCGACTTGGTGGATAGTGAGGTTTTTCTTTGAATGCTGGAAATGTACATGAAAAGGTAATTAAATAAATGGATCTTCCTTAGTGAGCAGACTAAATTCAACTTAAGTTTAAAGAGCAATGCAAGTCCAATAGTGAGACTTTTCATTTTCACTAATTTCTAAGTAATGACTAGTTTGGCACTGAACATGACTAAAACTCAGAGATCTGGCTCATTCAAAACTGCAAAACCATTAACAATATGTCATAACCTTGCCCACTGATTATTCCATTTTTAGTTAAGCAAGATTAGTCTTTATGAAGCATTCAACAATTCTATTTCTAAATTTAGTTCCATTTGTAATTAGAGGTAACATCAGATAAGAGCAAGCCAATATATTATTGAGCTTAAATTTAGAGGATTGTCTTGAGTTAGTAACTATTTCTTCTGAAATCTGGCATAAATGTTATCTATCCAATCACACCTCTAGAACTGAAAAGGTCCGGGGGGATTCATGGGAGCAGAGCTGGGTCCTTCTTGCTGACTCACTCTGGCTGCAAATGGACAATCTAGGGGTAGAGTTGAGAGACATAAACGTGTGATGGTTTCTGATTCTATAAGTCCTAGCACAGCCCATTTCTATGGAGTTAGAGATGGATTTCACAGGCTTCTCAGCCAGCCATTTAGAGACTGCCCTTTTGCTGGGCAGGGAAGGATCTACTAATTTCCTGCAACAGATGGCTAGGGAGAGATTTCTGTAAGGTTTGGTTAGCCAGAGTCAAGACTACTTAATAGAAGAACTGAACTGTTAAAATTTGGTACATCAGAAATTAAAACCTAGTCTTAGTACTGACTCAAAAATTTAAACTAAAATAAAGTGGAAAATACTGTATCTCACTGAACCTAAGATGGTCTGATGCTGGCACTCAATGATCTTGCCAGGTATCAACAGAAGAGTTTCACATAATCATGTCTCAACTGCCACCAATGTTACATGCCATCAAAAAAAATTTTTTTTTACTGTGAAAAGAACACAACACGAAATCTACTCTCGTAACAAACTTTAAGTTCACAATATGATATTGTTAATTACAGGCATAATGTTGTAAAGCAGATCTTTAGAACTCATTAATCTTCGATGCCAATGATTACTGAAAGCATTTCAATCTCAGAGATTTCATGATAAAATGTACACTTTAGAATCAATGAGATAGGGTAAATGGATTCAGAAGAAAGCAGTATTTTCTAAAAGATAAGAACTTCTTTCTCTCTTTTCTTAATAGTGGCTATTTCTTCCAAAAAGGAAGGCCTGCCTTATAGTTCAAAAGTGGGTTAGATCTGATGGACCTGGCTGTCAAATCATAATCATGCAGACATTTAAAAATAATACAGATTTTAAGAGACTATCCAAGACTCAATGAATCAGAACCTCCAGAACAGAACCTGAGAATCTGTATTAAACACAAAACTCTCCAAATGCTATCAATACCCAGCCAGGTCTGAAAAATCACTGTGAAAGAAATGATCCTTAAAACTTCCATATAATGCTGCAATTCTTTAACTCTCCTGTTTGCTGCTAAAAATAAAAAAAGGAAAGTCCTTTACTCACCAACACATTGGTTAATTATGCTATAACTAAAACAGACTTCAGTTTTATAGGTCTCACAACTAACTCAAGAGGAGACATAACTCATAAACATTTACTTTTCAAGATCCTTATACTGGAGGCTGGCGGGCATAAAACATTATAGCTGCTGCAGTTCCTCCACTTCCCTCGCCCTATCTGCTCCTCGCGGTTGAGGATGTCTGTTGCCCTTTCCTGGAAGTGCCCTAGTTTCAGAATGTAAAATTGCTTACAAGGTAATCATGAGTATTTACTGAGTCTTCATTTTCTTAGGTTTTTATTTAATATGGTAAAACAGGTCTAAATGGCTCAGATCTGAACTCAAATGCAAAATAAAAGCAATTCTTAATCGTCTTAACTCCACTAGATTTATTTTCTGAACAGAAGCGTCATCTTTTCATTTTGGGCAGTCAACTGCCCTCTCGGACAAAATCAGGCCTGTATCTACCAGCTACAGGATATATAAAGTTGGGTTTAAGTCTATACAAAAGAAAAACGAACAAAAAGCCATTGGCCTGTTACCCTGTCTAAGCTGTGCTACATTTTCCAAGGATGGAATATGGCCTGTTCCTTTTCGTTTGAAACGGAAAAACAATTGCCCAGCTTGTGCGGCTCAGTGGTTGGGCGTCGACTGATGAACCAAGAGGTCCCAGTTCAATTTCCAGTCAGGGCACATGCTCAGGTTTCAGGCTCAACTCCCAGTGGGGGGCATGCAGGAGGCAGCCGATCGATGTTTCTCTCTCTATATATCCCTCTCCCTTCCTCTCTCTAAAATCAATAAAATATATTAATTTTAAAAAAAGAAACTGAAAAATAATTGCCTTCTTACCCTCTTCTCTTTTCCCCACCAAAAACTTGTGCCAATAAAATAATTAACTATTAAAGCAGCTATTCTCCACCCCTGGCAATAGGCACATGAAGAAGCCCAGGGTTTGGGGCACCACATTCAAATGTTTTCTCCCATGATGAAGCAGCAGATCTGTTGTGTTCAGGACCACTTCTACTTTTTGAAATGAGATAATAACATTTTCGATTTCGTCATCTGCCCTGTGTCATTCAAGCTGACATTACACATATTAACTTAATAGGCCTGAATCCTGGCCCTGCCTCTGGAGAAGTCAGTTCCTGTCTTTGACTATAGCTTTCTCATTCCAAAAATGGAAATAACAAGCTATTATGAGGATTATCATATGATACAAGTAAAAGAATTTTATAATTATTGAGTGCTACACAAAATACACTGTAGCACAGTGTATTCCTCTTTTTGAGGAATTTTTTTTCCCCCCTGCGGAATATTTATTGTTAAAAATTAGAGACTAAATTTATCTCAGGAGCTTGAAATTCTTACAGACTAAGTAAAATGTATTTCTATGAAAAGTTTACAATAACAGCTTATATCTAAATATTCTGAATATAAGAATCAAAAGTATAATTATGCATACATGTATACACTCACATTTAAGTACCTTAGTATTAAATACTTTGATTACCATTACTTTTATCTGTCATCCACTCACTTTAGTGAATCAGGATGGTAAGGATTTTAACTGGCAACTTGAGTTAAGTAACAGTGTACTGCTAAGCTGTACGGCTTTCAAATACAACAGCATGACCACCTATACAAGAATTTGAATTGGAACAAAAAGTAAGATTAAGTAAAAATTAAAATAATATATTTTTATATATAACATTTTATATATGGAGTTAGATTGCCTAGGCTCCACTTTCATCTTCAGTATTTACTGCAACTATTGGTAAATTAAATTTACTTAAATTATGGGCCCCCATTTCCTTACCTATAAAATAGGAATGGCAATAATAGTGTCGCCCTCACAGGGCTGTGAGGATTAAACAAGATAAACTGTGCATATTAAACACTCAAATGTTAGAGACCGTAGGAGAGTTCTCCCAATGGGAATGGGGTACTAGTGTGAATTCAGTGGAAGGCGTGGGTTAATTTAGAAATGCCAGATGGATTACACTCAAGCTCCACAAGGGAACGTAAAAGAGTTACATGGCATGAACGCTCAAGACTGTATATTAGAAAGACTGCTAAGTACCAATTTAGTATATGGCACATTGCTGAAGACTTCAGCAACCTAAATTATTTTATAAGATTTGGTTAGGCTTTCAAAGTATTTATGGGTAGAATTTAGAAGAAAGTAGGATTGTCTCTTAGTAACTTAGGACCTTTCAGTAAGTACCTTTTAAATAACCCAAATTTTCCTCAATAGCAAATATCTGGATAAATATTTAATTTATCCAAATTAAAATTTTAATTTAAATGTCATAATTTTCAGCCTAAGACATTCACAACACAACTGTAAGTTATCTTGCTTTTATACTATGCTTGGTATTATAAGATTGGTCACCAAGCAAAACTTGGCAATAAGCCCTTTTTTTCCTATTCCATTTCCAGTCCAGTTTTTTACATTCTCCCCCATCCCCACTTCTATTTCCACTGTCTGCTATAAGCCATGTGCACATAAATAAGTAATTATGTATATAAATAGTTCTCTTTTGATTTCTCAAATAACACAGGGTGATATGCCAGTGGTCACGCCTATTGCTGTTTGTGTTGCTTTAGGCCCTCCTCCTTTAACAGATAAAATCTTGTATTTGTAGCACCTCATATATGTACGTTTAAACACATGTGCATATATATCATTTCATATCTATAAATATTTTTATATACAACTTATTACTCTCACTTCTTCCAAAGAGACAATTGAAGACAATAAAAAAAGGAAAATCAGAATTTATGTGAAGATTCATGAGGAACTGAAGGAAAGAGAATTTTACATTTTAATAATCCCTATTGCTAATAGAAGGCCCATGAATGCAAAATAGGCCTATGAACTATATTTCACCCAGCAAATCAAATATGGCTATCAGAAAAATGTACTTAAGAGTTTGTTTCTAAAAATAGAGATTTCTTTTAAAACTTTGTTAAACTGCTAAAATAGTCCAGGGATAATGTTCTTTCTCAGTAGTCTGCACACAGCAAATATGCCACTTACTAATTGAAACACAAAAACCAACCATAAGTAGACTGGATATGACAGAATACTTTCTATGCTACCAAGAAAATATTTCAGTCATCTTAAGGGAAATTAAATAAGTGGGCTGAGCTTCCTATACCTGGATCCTGAAGTTCATCTATAAAGTCAGTCTCTATCAAAACACTTAGTGGTCTTCAGCATACCTTCCTTTGAAAACTGAGGATTTCATATTTGGAGATCATAAAACTTGAATTTTTCATTATTACAATAACCAAGGTAAAAATTAATATATAAATTAAAAACCCAATTTAATTGTAAATTTTAATGATTAAAAGATGGCCTTTCAACTTTAAAGTTCCCTTCCTCCTCAAATTAATTTAAGATACACCGAGTGCCTAAAGGGCAGTATTACAGTTATATTAGCAGCTATATTACTTAAATAAACCTTGCCTATCCTTTTTCCTGAAATCAAAATTGTTTCCCATTAAAAATAAACTTTAAAAAGCAGACCTTCCCAAACCTTCTTCCAAACTGATGATGGCTGCTTGCAGCTGATTTTGACTGACTGCTTCAAGACACAGGCCCAGACGAGAGGACTCAGTGACGGAGGGTGGCAGCAGAGCTTTGCTGGCATGGCCTAACAAGTAGATAGTTGCCACAGTTTGAAATTCTGCTGAACAGCTTGCCACTGCCCAGGATCATTCACTGGTCAACATTTTCAGATCCAGTCAATTGTTAAGTTGAGGATCCTCAGAAAGATTTATCATTAAAAGGAAGGTTGTAGCCTATCTGCATAATTTCAAAGCATTGACAAGAACTTGTTCCTGGCTAGGTTAGTGTAAGATGCAGAACATGTAGAGGAATACGCAAAGAGGAAGCAGGTAATATGATGGAAACCAATAGTTATCGGGGGAGAAAAGTTAGTAGGGAGATAAGTGAGATGAATTAGTCTTCAAACCCTTTACAATATTAAAATAGATGGACCATAACATAGCCCTAGAGCTGTAACATTCATTACCTGAGCAAGGCAGTGCTACAGCAAGAATGAAACAAGCAAATGGCATTTGAGATAGTAATAAAAATTTCCAGGATTGGTTACTTTTCTTTTTATACATTTGTCATGCATTTATCTACTTAAACTCTAGAGAAAATAATTCACTTACCAATTACTGTTAAAATAAATAAAAGTGTGGCGACACCTGATGTTCCATAAAACATGGTCCTGATATTATAAGCCAAAAGATCTGTGTTATTCTGTGTGTTGGGCACTAAAACTGGTGGTAGCAAAAAGCCAACTGCAGTGCCAAGCTGTAAAATAAACAGTCCTGTTAACAGATATTATTAGAAGAGAAAAAAGTACATACTGCCAATTAATACAACACAAAGAGGACAGCTGGGGTACATAATGTGTTTTTGTAAACTCTAAAGCACCGTATTCTAATGTCTTTTTACAACTGTACTGTTAAAGAGAAACTGCTGACACAAGTCTTTCCTATCAATAAGCATTCGCTGAGCTCCTGTAATCTAAATGCTGCTGCTATAAAGTTAGATGCTTATAATCAAAAAGAGAATAATAATATGCAAACTAGAACTGAGAAAAGACAACCTATAGGATGGGAAAAAATATTTGCAAGTCATATATCTGACAAGGGTTTACTATCTAGAATAGAGAGAGAAATCTTGTAACTCAACAACAAAAAGACAAACATCCCAATTAAAAAATGGGCAAAGGGCCCTGGCCGGTTTGGCTCAGTGGTGAGAGCGTTGGCCCACCGACTGAAAGGTCTCGGGTTAGATTCTGACCAAGGGCACGTACCTTGGTTGCAGGCTCGATCCCGGCTCTGGTCAAGGCATGTAAGGGAGGCAACCAATCGATGTGTCTCTCTCACATCGATGTTTCTTTCTCTCTCTCTCCCCCTTCTACTCTCTCTGAAAAAAGCAATGGAAAAATATCCTCAGACAAGGATTAAAAAAAAAGGGAAAAGGACTTGAATAGACATTTCTCTTAAGATATACAAATGTCCAACAAACACATAAAAAAATGCTCAACATCATTAGTCATTAGGGAATTGCAAATCAAAACTATAATGAGATACTACTTCATACCCACTATAATAGAAAATAAATGGAAAAATAAGAAATGTTGGCAAGATGTGGAGAAATTGAGACTCTGTAGACTGCTGGTAGCATTGTAAAATAACGTGGTCACTGTGGGAAACTTTGGCAGTTCCTTAACAAGTGAAACACGGAATTACGTGTGACCTAGCAATTCCATTCCTATTTACCAAGGTTTTCAAACAAATATTGATTATAGTATAAGAATATTATGGCAGCCCTATTCACAATAGCCAAAAGGTGAAAACAACACAAATGTCCATCAGTGGATGAACGGTTAAACAAAATGTGGTATATCCATACAATGGGACATATGGAAGGCAACTGATCGATGTCTCTCTCCCTCCCCCCCCCACTTCCTCTCTTTCTAAAATCAATTTTTTTAAATAAAAGAGCCAAAAGTGGTTCATTTTTAAAATCAATAAACATATCCTCAGGAGAATAAGGCAGAGATAACATTTACCAAATATTTCATTTGCTCCCTTACAAAAGCTGGATAGAGACAATTAAAGAGGTAATTACAAGAGAGTGTGGTAAGCATAGTACTATGATGGAGAGGTAGAGGGTGATAAGACTGGAAGGATCAAGTAATTTATGATCCAAACAAGAATACTATTCAGAGCGAAAGGGACTCCAGGGGTAATTATGCTGGAAGAGGTGTGCACTTGGACCACGCCGGCAAATACGGTCATTCAGAACGCACGGTGACCCCAGCTAAGAGAGTACTCCGGAGGAGCACCTTGTATAGACTTGGACTTCAGGCAAAGTTTCTGGAGAAGCAAAGGTCTGGCTAACTCCAATTTCTTAATCAAGTGAAGTTCAAGTGTTCCAAGCCATGGGGACATCATGTACAAAGGAAAGAGAGAGCATGACCTTGTGAGAAACTGTAAGTAGAGCACAGTTTCCCTCAGAGCAGAGAAAGAGTATGCATGTGAGAATGGAGGTGTGGAGAGAGGTGAAGCTAAGGAACTGGCAGGTCAATCAGGAGGGTGATACATTGTCACAACAGACAGTGTGAATTTTTTCCCCCTAATTGTCAGAGTTCTCAGTCAGATTTGAAAACATTTAAAACAAGTCCTTGGTAACCTCCAAATTATTCTTGCTGTCCCTCTGGCCATGATCTTGGGACCAGAAGGGCATATAAAAAGTCACCTTAGACAGTTTAAATTTTATCCTAAGGACAATGGAAGCAACTGCAGGGGAGTACCCCAGACAGATCTGCTATTAAAAAAACAACAGTGGATGAATGTGAAGAAGAGAGGAAGACAGCAAGAGCTGCAGATGGAAAGGTCAGTTAGCAAGCCCTAGGCAAGAGCTGCAGGTGGCCAAAGTGAAGACAGTGGCGATAGTGGCAGTAGAAATGAAGACAAAATCAATTTGGTGGGGTTGTATGGGATATCCAAGTGGAAATATCCAGCTGGCCACTATGAGTCTGAAACTTGTTCCTATATTCAACAAATTTTTATGGAGACTCTACAATGTGCCAGGCACTGTAATAAATGCTGGTGATACAGTTAGACTTCATGGGTACATTAAGACTTCTTGCCTATTTTCATGAAACTTACAATCTAATGGTGGGGATGGGAAGTGAATAATAAAGAACTATTAATATACAAACATGTAAGTATATAAACATATCAGGCAGTAATAAGTACTACGTGGAGAATTAAAGTATAATGATGTAATAAGAGAGTGACTGGGCAACTCTAAATGGGATTGTAAAAGATTTGCTACTGAGTAATATTTAAAATGCATTTAAACTGAGAGCTCAATCCAGTAAGGATGTAATAATGTCATTCTAAACAGGAAGAACATCCCAGGCAAAGGGAATGTTTCTGCAAAGGTGCTTATGTAAAATGCAAGTTTAGTATTGTTGAAGGAACCAAATAAAACATGTTGGCAAGGTTTTGTAATTCAAAGTAGAGTTTAGATTTTAAGTACTATGGGAAATCATTGGCAAGTTCAAAGCAGGGCAATGACATGATCCAGTCTATGTTTTAAAAGCTTGTCTCAGGTTAGAGACCTGGCAGAACTAGCTGGGTAATTTAAAGCTAGGATTCAGGAGTCAGACCGACTTGAGTGTGAATGTCACCATTAATTAGCTGTGTGACTTTAAGAAAATAATTCCGTGCCTTCAAGTCTCAGTATTTGTATCTATAAAATGAGGACAGTAATAGTTCCTACCTTACATTATTAAATTAAATAACACCTGCATGTAAAGGATTTAACATGGTGCCAGGTTTTAGTGAGTGCCAAATAATGTTGAATATTATTGTAAATGATCACTCCATAATCTAGGCTGAAGTTACACGCTTGGGAGTAGTGAGTAAGTGCACAGCTACCGGAGCCAAGGAAGGACAAGCACAGTTAGGTAGATATAGGAATAAGGCCCAGAGACGTGCTGAGTGTTAGAGGGAAATCTGTCTATGAGAAAACATTTCCGTTTATTATCCATGAAATAGACAATCCATAGCTATGGAGTTGATAATATTTATCATGCTCAATGAAGTCTTAATCTTGAATATAATTTTGTAAATGTAAAATACTTTAACTAAACCATTCCTATCCAAACATGGAGAAGCAAACAACTAAAATATTATCAGAAATTATTTTGGGTACACAACAACTATAGTTCAAGCTACCCCTTCTGTACTTTTAGAGAAAAATAAATATAAAGCATGTAGAGTTTGTCTTTTTTATGGATTTTAAATAAATCTTATTGTGATCTTGAAACAAGTATTGGACTGGAAGAAAGTAAAAGTCTTTTGTTACATAGCTACATGCAGCAATATATATACAGAGAGAGGTGAAGTTTTTGGTATACAGATTTTTAACTAGATTCTCCTCAAGCTTAATGAATACTCAATACAATTTACATAAAGTATTATAGGACTCCATGTGCAAAATTAAAATTACAATAAAAGAATCAATCTGCAATTTTAAAAAACCACACAAGGCATTCTACCTAGTAATGCTAATGGAATTAGGACCTATGGTATTAGAAAAGATTTAAGAAGCACCCCAGGCAATGTAAGCCACCCTTTTACAATGGATTCCAAGATCTGTGATTTGTCTTCATTTTCTTACTGGTAAAAATTGGTAATTGGACTCAGGAATGTTGTGAGGTCTTTACCACTAGAACGTTTATTTAGCTGTCACGTATAAGTGTTTGTTTTGTACCAGGCACTCTGCTGACTGCTACTCCATAAAATTAAACAGGGCCGTTCACCTTGACCACTCAAATGGGAACAAACTTCCCAGAATCCAACACCTCTTTTGCAAATACAATGAGGGTGGCAAAAATAATACCTACCCAAGTCTCACGCATTACTGACAATTTTCCATGATGTCAGGCACCTAGGGGCCGTTTCAGTTATGTTATAAGTAATTCTCAAAGCAAGATGACAAACCGGTCTCACTTTAAACTGGTTTTCAAACTTCTGTCCTTACAAAAAGACCAAATCCCCTCTTTAATCCAAGGCTGCTGCCTCTTACCTCCTTCATTTCTAGACAAGCCTCCCACGGCCTATGACTTTTATCTGGTCCTTCAAGGATCCGATTTTCATCTATCGGCCTAGGCCTTACCTGATTGCCTAGCACGGCTGTGGCACAGGCTGTGGACACCTCTGTGGGCCCAAACCACACGGAGGCGATGCGCGAGGGCAAGCCCAGGATGAAGACCTGGGCCACGGAGCACAGGGACTGGCCCAGCATGGTGACCCAGAACAGATGCTGCTGCACGCTGCCGCACTTGACCCAGGCGCCCAGGCAGTTGAGGCCCGAGCCCAGCAGGGCGGTGAGCCGCAGGCCTCTGGTGTCCAGCAGCCAGGTGGCCGGGAAGATGAGGGGCACGTAGGCCAGCATGTAGACCATGGACAGCCAATCGATGTGCAGCGAGGAGACGCCGTAGAAGCCCTCGAAGACGTTGCTGATGATGCTGTACTGGATCCACTGGAAGGCGTTGACCAGCGAGTACAGGCTGAAGACCGAGAGCACCACAAAGCGCCGTGCAGAGAGCGCCGTCCGGGGCACCGGGGAGCCCTCGGCCCCTGGGGTCTCCTCCTCGGGGACCGTGGGCAGCAGCCGGACCTGGGTCTCCTCCTCCGGGGCCAGCGGAGTCTGCGGCCCGCCCGGGGCTCCCGAGACGGCCGCGGGGCTGTCCCGAGGGACCCCATTCAGGGCCAGGCAGCCGGCTTTGGGCCCGTTCTGAGGCTCCGCGCTCATCTTCCCGGCTGGCGAGCCCCCCGGGAGGGATCCTTTCG